ATATCTGTATTAAAAATAAATTTTGAATAATTAAATTAAAACACATGTAATTAAATTATTGCATGTGTATTATAAACAATGTAATTCATCTCTTCAGAAAAAAAATGTTTCTCTAACAATAGTTTGTAAAACATCAAGTAATCATTATAGTCCTGATTTTATAGGAGTAATACATTATATTATCTAGTCCTCGTCCTCGTAACCGCTTCGTATATGATTTTACTTTCGTTATTCACGGATTTCAAGAATGGAACATTATTGTATAAAGCATGGATACCGTTTGACTATTCAATCTCCGCGCAATTCTATCTCGTGTACGTTCATCAGATAATGACTTTAATATTTATCGGTCTCGTTCATCCCACATGTGACAGTTTTATTTGCGGATTATTATTACACATTTGCTGCCAGATCGAGATTTTAGAGTATCGCTTGTCAAACATCGTAAATGCTCAAGGAAGCTTGCGCGATTGCGTACATCATCATATACGTATATTTGAGTAAGCCCTTTTAAAATTAGTACACATATACACACACATACACATACGTCTTTGAGATGTATATATATTTTATTAGATTTTCCCGTTGATTTAATGCAAATTAGAAAAATTTTTATTTGTCGATGAGAGAAAGAAGCAAAAATATTTTTGCTTCTCAAAAGTCAGATTTTTTGTTTTAGAATTAATTGACATTTATACATGCAATATTAAAATTAGATAACTTAATTTGAAGCATTTTTTCGCGTAACTTTTTCTCATTTTTTTCAGATATATTTTTCAAAGACATATGTCTTCTATCGGTTATAAACAAAAAAGGCATTCTATAGTTAAACAATTTTATTATTTTTTGTGCTGCGTATATTTATCCAAATTTTTTTGTTTAAGCTGTGAAAATACCAGTAATGTTGTATTGTAAAAATAATATATTAATTTTTAATACCATATTTATATATTAAAAATTTTATATTAAAAATAAATGTTTGTTTAAGCTATCTTATTATTTTCTGTATAAAATCAGTGTAAAATATCCTTATTAATTTTTAAAGTTACAAAACCTACTAAAATATTTTAAAGCTACAAAAAAATTTTAATTAAAAATATCCTGTTTAATTTTAGATACTCATATATGGTGAATGAAAAATTTGCCAGAATAGTTCCTAGTGAGTTTATAATGATCACGGTGGTAATGTGCTACAGTTTGATTCATATGGCTTTGACATCGTCCACTATCGTTTCTTATGTACAAAATGCCATGGTTATAGCTTGCACACTAGCACCAATTTTTTACTATTGTTGGTTTGGCAATGAAGTCAAGCTAAAGGTAACTTGTAACTAATTTTAATTTTATAGCCAATAATCAGTTTACATAGAAAGAATTACACAATAAACGTTATATTATCGCGAGAGAATCTCCCTCCCTTCTCTCTTTCTCTCTCTTTCTATTTAAATGTATACATGTATAATACACATAGAGGATTTTATCACGATTTTATTTACAGAGCCTGCAATTGTCGGATAATATTTATAATACAGAATGGACAATACTTAACAACAACATCAAGAAAGGTCTCTTAATGATCATGAATCGTGCGACGATACCAATCGAATTTACCAGCGCAAACATTCTGTCAATGAATCTTGAATCATTCGTGATGGTTTGTATAAGAAAATATTTTTCTACGTAATAAACATTTAATTTACTTATTAATTATATAATTATTTAGGTGCTCAGGACATCATATTCACTTTTTAATGTACTGGTAAATTCGCAGAAATAGTAATATGTAACACAAAATTAGAAATTGTTATTTATATTTAATCTATTGCATTCAAATAATTGAGAAACATATCGAAAATAACAATAGCTTATTAATTAATTGTTACCAATGAGACATTTTTGAAAAAATACGTATATTCTGACACATGATTTGTCTGATACAAAGCATAAAATATTTCTAAAAGCATATTCATGATTTTATTTTAACACTATCACAAGCTGAACGATTAAAAAAATTGTGTGGGAAAAGAAATCATACAATACCATTTTTATTTAAAAAAATGCATCTGTTTTAATTTTATTACTGCACATGTTTGTATTGTAATGTCAAAGAGAGTTAAGGATTATTATGTCTCTCTTTTATCTATTCCTCTATCTACTTGACAGTAATTTTGTAAGTACGTATACGTTTAATGCGATTCTTTCTCTTGTTCGTGTTACATAAACATCAATATTGGACAATGTCTTTCTAGGTAATAGCAATAATAAATAAAATATTTTGTTGTCGATGTATCAAAAAGTGACATACATCAAGAAATTATGAAAATTTGCATCTCATATTTAATTGATAAACTTACGGAAATATTATTGTTTTCTCTCTCTTTCTGTACTGTTATATATTGTTCTCGATTTGAGTGTCAAATATAAGATATGATATTACATTTCCCGTATGTAATAAAAAATGCATGTATACTATAGTCCTCTTAGCTAATTCGCGTAAGAATTTATTTCGAGACTATAAGTATATCATATAAAGATAGAGATATTTAATATGTAGAAGAAAAAAAAGGAATCATCGTCAACGAAAAATACCTTCATTATCGGAGAGCCTTCTTAGGATTGTCACAAGTCTATAGACAATTCTAAGTGCATTCTCTTTTGTAAAATAATGTTACTTGATCTATGATAAAGATTCTATCAAACTAAAGTAATCTCGACAACAGTAAATATTCTTTAAAAATTTCCGAAATTATTCAAACAGTTCCAAAATTTATAACACGCTATATAAACAAACGCAATTGTATATATCTTTTCTTTAATTAAACAAGAATTAAAATGCATATTCTAAACTTGACATTTTTTATTGTTACGTTTGTGGGATGCTTTCGACCGCTATCGTGGACATCATTGTTTAAACGTGCTGTTTACAATCTCTACAGATTATTTATAATTATCATTTTATACACTTTTGCATTTTTACAATTTATGGACATCGTTCTGAACGTTGACAATCCCGATGACTTCACTAACAATCTGTACATGATGTTAAATGTATCCGTTTCGGGATACAAGTTACTGATCATGTGGATTAATTATACGAACGTTGCAACATTAATCAACAAACTTAACCAAGAGCCATTTAAACCACTGGATTCAGGCGAACTGGAAATTTGGTCGGAAATTTGATAAATTAATACGGTCTGATCTTAATTAAATATGATATTCAAATTTTTATTTACAATTAGTAGTAATTTATTTTATATCTGTATATTTTAATTAAGTTGCAAGTAATATATTCTTAAGGAAATATTTTGACTATTTAATTTTATGTGTATAATGTGTCTTTTAATTTCAAAATTTAACTTTATCGATTGAGATTTTTAAAATCCATAAATGTGTAATCACAAATGAAAACTTTTGAATTATTTTATAAAAGCATACGCTATTTTATTTATAAGTAAATACATTAAATTTAATTATGATAAATAAATCAAATTATTATA